AGAAATACTCAAAATGCATACATTAACAGTAAGTAAACGCATGGAAAGAGTGTTGCTAAACGAACCCTAAAATTAACTGAGTACACCATATGACCGTACATCCTAATATTTTAATCAAAATGTAAAATTAACTAAGTACACCTTATTTTACTACCAAAAATACTCATGGTACATCCTAATACACTCTACTTGTGATGAGAGAGCCTTTTTGAACCTTAGCAGTTGGAAAGTATATTGATAGGATTTTTAGTACCTGCGCAAACAGGGTTAAAATCACTTAAAATACTTGCAAGAATATAAGGATATTGTAGTATAGATGCTCATGCAAGGTCGTTGTCCCCAAAGATTGTTTGACTAATTTGTAATTAAAACTAACTCTTAATTAATAACTAAAATGAATTTTATCAAAGATGTGAAATTTATGAATTTGAAAAGATTAACTTGACAATAAAAGAAATCTGAAAGTTGGGAGGTAATAATAGCAGAGAATAAAAACGTTTTTAAAAATAACAATATAGAGAGAAACTAGGGTTTAGCCGTCGCCGTCACAATTCTATGCAACTCTATCAATTACTTATGAATTTCCACACATTTGCTTTGAAGGTTAGGTTTTCCTAATATTCTCCTTGTGATGTTCAAGCGAAAACGTATATCTAACATGCAATCCGTCTGTGATGTTCAGATCAATATAAACATGCAAGACTCATTAAGCTTTGTGAAAACCCTTTGAAAAACCAAGCAACCCTTAAGAGCGTGATGTTCGCCTTAAGTGAACTTACAATTACTAATCACAAGAAGCCCTCCTCAATTTCAGGGTGATGTTCCAACAGAAATTGCATCAAATTACTTGTCTAAATATCCTAATGGTGATGGGTCATTAAAATAGATAGATAGTTTAAACACAGTGATTAATAATTCAAAGCAAACATGCATCCATTCATAAGCAAATTAATAAAATTACATATTCATGCTAAGGCTTATGGCCTCGCCCTAGCAATAGGAATTAGTTACGCATACTCAGAACTAAAATCCAAGAAAATATCATTCGAATGAATAAGAATAAAAACACCTGGAAGTAGAAGCTCTTCAAAAACCCCAGCAAAAGTCGCGTTCCAAAAGCCAAAAAAAAGATCCTAAATTTGCTGTGAAAAATAGTTTAAATACCTCCTAAAACTCAGCTCCTCATCCCCACAAGGAAACTAGCTCCTAATCCCCACAAGGAAACTAGGTTAAAATAAAATAAAACTAGGAAATAAAGTCCAAATTGGACTAGGAGAATCTGCCAACAATCTGTCCAGCCACGTTTTGGCCACAAATCTCCTCCAAATCCGGCCCAAGATAGCTTGATTTAAAGATAAAAACGTTCTGAACACTTCTCCAGAAGGCCACGAACCCATTTGAGGTCATCTTGGGCTCCAAAAACGCAATAAAGGCCCAAAACGTTACTATTTCAGCACAGCGCACTGCTCCTTTATTTTATCGCCAGAAAACAACCGCTTAGTAGAAACATCTGAAATTTTGATATGATCAAGCTAAGTGACTTCCAGCGGCCTGTGAGTTTGCTCAAGCTGCTGGAAAACAACCTATTTGATCAAGGTGTTGGATATTTTGGCTGATGTGGGACTTTTCCAAGTGTTTGCAGGCCATTGGATATTTTCCTAAGCTATTGGGTTTTCTCTCTCATGCTTACCCATATGTTTGGGCTCAAGGAATGTGCTTGAGTTTTGGTGCTCCCAAGTAGCCCAAAACTTCCACTCCTTGGACCATCAATGGGCCTCGTGACTACTTGTAACCATCCATACCACAACCCGCTCAGCAAGCCCCAGGCATTCGCGTGGCTTGGGCCCACCTAAGCTTGTAGCGTGGCATGTTGCTTATTTGCTTGGCGTGGCATGTGTGCAAGTGCATATGACGAACCTTTGCATGCCCAAATCGGGTTTATTCTCGGTACGGTATTGCATTGAGCCGAGAATTTATTTGGGCCGAACCGTGACTTTTTTGGGCCTCAACAATTGGTTATTGCCTAACAAGAGAATAATGTCCCATTCTTCATGCCACAACCTCTCAATACTGAAATTAAAAGTAGGAGAAATGACGAGATAATGGGTAGAATGATGAGCTTAATCATACACGTGGCCGAACAGTGCTAACATAACTTTTTTTTTTTTTTTTCACAATTCAATATATTAAAATGATTAGGGTTGAACATAGTGAGTAATGAGTACTTATTAAAATTACAATTGTTTCACAATTCAATATATTTTTTTTGGTCATTTTATATTAGGATAAATTAGTAATTCAATAAATACTTTTGTCGTAGGGTGTACTCAGTTAATTTAGGGTTCATTTAGCACCACTCCTTTCTTATGATTCCATTACTTGTAAGTAAACATGACAAGTTTCTTGATTTATGGCTTCATAAACATGCCATAATTAATTTGAAAGTTTGAAAAAAAAAAGTAAAGTAAAGTCTATCTTTTTATTTCAAAGTTAACCAAAATATTTAAAAAGTGGATTGTAGAATAATGATAATCTTTCCATCTCAAATAATAGCTAATTAGAAAAAAACAAATCGAAGAATAGTAATTTAATTGGCTGGCATTATGTAATTTATTTCGTCGAAATTAAATAGCCTTTTACCATATCGATGACGTGGAGGGTTGACTCCGGGAGCTTCCATTTAGAAGAATGCGAGTGCGTTCGTGGGAAGTGGGATCCCCTCATAAAGTCTCACAATCACAAAATTAATTTTCAATTAAATTTTAATCTGTGCCGCTAAACGCAGAATTAAAATGCGGCTTAATCGCTTTAAAAACCCAGACCAAACCCCAAAACGACGTCGGTTCTTCCTACCATACAAAAACTCGCCCAACTCAGTCCAAACAGTAAAGAAGCTTTCAACGCACGAGACAAAGACCCCAAAAGCAGACTCGGTGGCTCTCACTCTCACCTCAGAGACGAAGAGCTCCAAAAAAGCTTGAGAGACTGTGAGAGAGAGAGAGTTAAATAAAGAAAAAGCAAGAAAACGAAGAGTGCCAGATCAATACTGGTAAAGCAACGAGAAAAAGGGGCACTGAGAGAGAGAATCTAGGGTTTCGTCGCGGTGCTGAACTGCTGATCCGACGTCGTTATGGCGAGTCCGCAGTCGGAACTGTTCACTAGGACTCCGGGTTCCGGGAGAGCTCTGTCGATTACACCAGGCGCTAGGATTCTGCAGAGCCCTTTCAGTGATGAAGCGATCTGGAAGCGTCTTAAAGAGGCTGGCTTTGATGAGGAGTCGATTAAACGAAGGGACAAGGCCGCGCTCATTGCCTATATTGCTAAGCTTGAAGCTGAGGTAGTTTCTTTTTCTCTCTTTGTAATTTGAATTTTGATTTCGAATTTTGAATTTCAAATTCTGCCCTGTACTCGTTTCTTTTACTTTTGGGTGTTTACAGTAGTGTGTTTTTCTTTAATGGAATTCTTTTGTTGGAATTTTTTTGATATAATTTGTGGGAGGAATTTCTTGCTTGAATGTGGCATTTGCAAAATAATGGAATTGAAGTTTCAGATTTTCAATATGCCCAATTAGGAGCAAAAGAAAATATAGATCACCTTGCTGCATTTCTTGTTACTCTTTCTGTTCGCTTTGATTATCTGGCAGGCAGAGTTTTTTAGTTTGTGGTCTTGGGCGGGAGATAGATAAATGAAATAGTAACAAATTTTTTATATCCTTTATAATGAATTTTGATTGGTCTCGAATAAGAAATGGCATAAGTGAATGCTTTTGGACTGGTTCGTATGTATATAATGCGTTTTGATTGATCCAAATAAGAAATCAGTTCTGTTTTATCCTGAATAAGGAATGGCATAAGTGCATGGTTTCCATCTTTATTAAGTTCTATACTTTTCTACCCGTGTCACAAAGAACCATTATAATGAATGAAGAAAGTTTTGTTTCTTGGAAAATATCTATTCAACATTGCTTTCAAGACATTGTTCTTCAATATAACTACAACCATTCCTCTACTTTTTATCTTTTGTTCTTTGCCTTTTTTTCTTCTCGTGTTTGATGCTCCCCTCCCTCTGTTGGTTTGTTGCTGCTTAATGATTTAGTTGGTGCCTCTAGTACCCATGCTATCTGTATTGAGCCCTGTTTGCTGTTTCTTTTGCTCTGGTGTTATTTTTGGAGTGTTGCCCTGATATTTTTTGAAGTGATAAACTTGAATAGTTCATATATTTCCCATGAAATGTGTAGTAGCAAATTTCTCTATTTGGTATTCCGCTGACCAGGTTAGCTTAATTTAGATTTTCGATCACCAACACCACATGGGTCTTCTCATAATGGAAAGAAAGGAGTTAGCTTCCAAGTATGAAGAAATTAAAGCCTTTAATGAGACAGCTGAACTTTTGCACAAGCGTGATCAAGCTGCACATGTATCTGCTTTGGCTGAAGCAAGGAAACGGGAGGAGTGCCTAAAGAAGGCAGTAGGAGTCAAGGAAGAGTGTATATCCAGTGTAAGTTTTCAATTGAGAGTCTTTGAAGTACCCATCCCCTTCGCATGTCATCATAACATTTTTTGTTTGGATATGTAGATTGAGAAGTCGATGCATGAGATGCGTGCAGAATCTGCTGAAACAAAGGTTGCTGCTGAGAGTAAATTGGCTGAAGCACGGAATATGGTGGAGGATGCTCAGAAGAAATTCACTGAGGCTGAGGCCAAGCTGCATGTAGCAGAATCTTTGCAAGCAGAAGCTTGTCGTTTTCACCGTGTCGCTGAAAGAAAGATGCAAGAAGTTGAAGCACGTGAAGATGATCTTAGGAGAAACATTCTGTCCTTCAAGACAGAGTATGTGCAGTTATTTTTGCAATATTGATCACCATATTCTCAGTTTTACTTTATCTGTCAAAACCTAGTGTCAGCATAACCTAAGTCTAGGGGCCATATTAAAATCCTACCAGAACATTCTATCCCATGAGATTTAATGAACTGTTCTCATACTTGTGTGGTGTAGTCTTGACACGATACAACCCATGGTAGTTTGGGAAGGGTACCAAACAAGGATTTTTTTTTCTTTCAATATGTCCAGTAGCACACTCACTTTCTTCAGGGTTTTATGTTATGCCTTCCTTGACTGTCTCGCAAAAATGTCAAATAATGTATTTCCAGAGAAGTTCTCATTTGAGGGGCTTAAACAAGGGACAAGTGGGACCATGCATTCAAGGGCTGGGGTCACTTCAGTGAATTATTGATTTCAGCAGTTGTGCAACTCCTATTATTAAATGTATCGGCCCCGACGTATCCTTCAATTTAAGTCCCTTAGTTGAGCACTTCTCTGTGTTTCCATACATGAAATAGTCACAAGTTGGCTAAAAGTTGTCCCCAATGATGTATAAAGCCAGTAAGAATTTTTTTTTGGAGAGTTTGTTGATTTTCTTGTTCTTTTGATATTGTAGTTGTGATACAAAAGAGAAGGAGATAAGCCTTGAGAGACAATCTTTATTTGAAAGGCAGAAAACCCTGCAGCAAGAACAAGATAGATTACTTGATGCACAAGCCCTGCTTAACCAAAGGGAAGATTTCATATTTGGTCGATCTCAGGAACTGAATCGACTTGAAAAAGAGTTAGAAGACATAAAAGCAAATATTGAGAAGGAGCGTAGAGCCCTAGATGATGGGAAATTAAATCTGGAGCTGACTGAGGCTTCCCTTATTAATAGAGAGGAGGTTCGCATTGCTCTGTTTTTTCCCCCTCTGGATGTTTGTTGAAAGCTTCACTAATGTGGTTCTGTTTTGAGTGTTTGCAGGCTTTAACAAGAAGAGAAGCTTTGTTGAACAAAAAAGAGCAAGAGATACTTGTTTTGCAGGAGAAACTTGTGAGCAAGGAATCTGTGAGTGTTTAATCTTGTCATTTTCGTTTTGAATTAAGATGTCAACTGTACACTAGTTTTAGTCGATTGTGAATGATTTTATTTTGATCTATTTGACTAGAAGGTTTATGAAATGCCTTCTGTGGATTATTATACTATTGACTCAGTATCTGTTTAACTCTTTCTTGTCCTCAATCTTTATGTGGATGGATTATCCAGGATGAGATTAGGAAAGCCGTAGCAAGCCACGAAGTTGAGTTAAGAAAAAAGAAGTCCGAATTTGATTCGGAGCTGGACGTGAAGCGAAAACTGTTTGAAGATGAAATTGAAGCTAAGAGGCGGGCTTGGGAGTTGAGGGAAGTGGATCTCAATCAACGAGACGACCTACTGCAGGAAAGGGAGCATGACTTGGAAGTTCAGTTGAGGACATTGGTGGATAGGGAGAAAGATGTGGCAGAGATGTCAAATCTGGTTGATGAGAAAGAAAAAACTTTAAGAGATGCTGAGAAGGAGTTTGAGCTGAATAATGTTCTTTTGCAAAGAGAAAAGGAAGAAATTATCAAAATGAAGGTAGAGCTTCAGAGCTCCTTGGATTCACTTGAAGACAAAAGGAAACAACTTGATTGTGCCAGGGAGAAGTTTGAGGTTTTGAAAACTGAAACAAGTGAGCTTTCAGATCTAGAGATGAAACTAAAAGAAGAGATAGATTTAGTCAGGGCTCAAAAGCAAGAGCTGATGGCTGAGGCAGATAAGTTGGCTGTAGAGAAGGCAAAGTTTGAATCCGAGTGGGAATTAATTGATGAAAAGAGAGAAGAGCTACGGAAGGAAGCAGAGCGTGTTGCAGAGGAGAGGTTGGCGTTTTCGAAGTCTATCAAGGATGAGCATGATAACCTAAGGCAGGAGAAGGAGGAAATGCGAGATCAGCACAAGCGTGATGTTGAATTACTTGTTAGTGAGCGAGAGGACTTCATGAATAAGATGGTTAATGAGCGTTCTGAGTGGTTTGGCAAGATGCAGAAGGAACGTGCAGACTTCTTACTTGAAATTGAGATGCGGAAGAGAGAATTGGAGAACTGTATTGATAAAAAGCATGAAGAGCTAGAATGTTCATTGAAGGAAAAGGAGATTGCCTTTGAGCAAGAAAAGAAAAATGAATTTCAGAATATTAACTCTCTTAAGGAAGAAGCAGCAAAAGAGAGGGAACAGGTTGCTTTAGAAAGGAAAAGGCTTGAGACTGAGAGAATAGAGATCAATTTGGATCGTGAGCGAAGGGATCGGGAGTGGGCGGAGCTAAATAATTCGATTGAGGAACTGAGGGTCCAGAGAGAGAAATTGAAAGAACAGAGGGAATTATTGCATGCAGATAGAGAAGAGATTCTTGGTCAGATTCAACACCTGAAGGAATTGGAGAGTTTGAAGGCTGCTTTAGATAGTGCGTCTGTGGCTGAGATGCAACAATCTGATTTGGTGCCTCGCAGCCGGAAAACTTCTAGACGATATTTGAAGCAGTTAACTTCTGTTCGAGAAGCTGATCATAATTCACATAATGAAGAAAATGTTGCCAACATTAGCAACTCGTCAATGCTAAAATCAGGGTTTTCTCCTTCTAGTTCTGCTCGTTTCTCATGGTTAAAGCGCTGCAGGGAATTGCTTTTTAAACAGTCTCCTGAGAAGCACCAAATGGCATATGAAGAAAATCATGTGATTTCTCGGGAAGAAACAAGTTTGACAGTAACTGAACAGGTAGATACATCAAGTAAATATGACGGGCATAGGTACACGGGAAATGGTAATTCACCTAGATTTTTCAGTAAGAGACAGAATGCTTTTGGTGAACCGAAGGTGATAGTTGAGGTTCCCTTTGTTGGTGAGACTGTAAAAGGAACACACGATTCTGAATCTGAAATTAAGGAATTTGATGGTGAAAGTTGTCCCCCCTTAATTTCTGAACAAGTCTTCCAGGGAGGAAGGAAAAGAAGAGTTGACAAATCTTTGTCTAATGACGGTTTTGATCCCCTACTTGAGCCCAGGCAGAACCTAAAGAAAAGGAGGCAACAACAAGATGCCACTGTGAACTCATCAGAACATGCCAACACCCACTGGTATAACCCATATTATCTGAACTTGAATCCTTTATTGGGTTTTGCCAATGTTCTGTTATTGGTATCTTGATAATTCCTCATTGCTTTAACTTGAATTTGTGAGCAAATTTAAACTGAGTCATATTTGTATTTTGGTTTCAGCATTGCGTCAACCCAGGAAAAAGTACTAGAGGATCAGAATGTATCAATGCCATTGCCATCTGATCAAATTTGTGAAGGCGCTGAAGAGGGTAGTGCTGTAATAATAGATAAAATCATAAAGGTTTCCGAAGTGATTTTTGAGGAAACTGGAACTGGAAGTCTTGGCAATGAAGGCAAATTAGAGGTGCAGAACTCTACTGTAGAAGCACACCATGGACAGAATGGTGCCTTCCAGGGAGCTGTTGGACAAGTTACTGAGCACTGTCAGGTAATCTTTAATGGTCTCTTGCATGGGATTCTTGCTGTTATACGTTATAATATGTTGTTTTGTATTACCTCTCCCTAATAACTGTGTTTGCATACATTCCAATTTCAAAGTGTTAATGTTGATAGTATCACCAGAAAGGACTTGGAATTGATTGCATCAGTTAACAATAAGTACGAGTGTTTAGCCCTACTCATTTAGGGCTCATTTGGGAGTGATTATGGATAGGCAAATAATCACTTCTCCATATCATCGCTTTAAGTGGTTTTAAGTGATTTTTTGGAGAAGCACAATGCAGGTGTTTTTCCCCAGAATCGCTTAAAATCACTTGAGTGATTCTGACCCTCCTAGAATCACTCCCAAAGGAGCCCTAAATATTGTTGAAGACCTCTGCTAATCATGATTATCTGTTTTATTTATTTATTACTCATTGAAGTTGTGCTTTTAATTGTTTAGTATGGATCAATTCTAATTCTGAAAGTGTATGCAGATTCAAGCCGAAGATACATCCGAAAAGCATGTGCAGTCCCAGTGAGATGATGATATTTGAAAAAGAGTGTACAGAAGCTTTAGATTTTGCAAAGCTGACATAGTCAAAAGAGAATAGTAGAGCTCTGGTTGTTCATAGTGTGTACTTCTAGTCTGTTGCATGGCTGTCGAAATAGATGCAAATAGAGTATTTTTCTTATTCCTTACCGGGTATCATTTTTATTTATTTTGTTAAGGTACATTTAAGTAATGCAAAGTCAAGCTTACTGATGAGATCTATCTTCTTCAGGTGCATCTTTCGCTGAAAGTCCTCAACTTTAAAGAGGCTCCCTTGTGATGGCATGTATCTTGGAGTGGGCTACTTATGTGAAATTTGTGAATGTTTGGTGGTTCTGATGTTACTTTTTTTTGGTTTGTTCTGGTTGATAGATGTGATCTTTTTTTCTTTCGAGTTCTTATTTTAGGGCAAACATGGAGTGTGATGTGTGGCATTTGTACTATATAGGAGGATTTCGTCTCTGGTTATGATCATGGGTTATCTGTTTGTTGTTACTTGGTGAAATATTGTTTCTTTCTTTGTGATATTCTCAAGTCCCAGGCATCAACCGACAAGGAAGGTTTGGTTGTGTGCTTCTGTTTTCTTATGTGGAAAAATATATCCTCGTCACTGAAAAAAAAAGTTATTATAAAGATGAGAAATTGGATGGCCCTGACTTGGATGCGTAATCAAAATACTTTATGAAAGGAGAGCTCTGGCCCGGATAACATTGAGATTACGATTGAGCTTTCACTTTTTTAACTTTTTGTTTTATCCTTTGCTGCTATTTCCACCCACCTGTCCTATTTCCCCACCCATCTTATCTTCAAAATATAAAAACAAATTTATCCATTTGTAAAATGACTTTTAAGGACTTTAGATTAAAAAAACACATATTCTCCTTCGTCCTTGTCAAACCCCAACCCATCCCTCTCTCCCTCATCATGACCAAACCCAAATCAAAATTCCAATAAAGCTTCAAAATTTCCAACTGGCTCCAATCCAATTCCATCAGATTTCTCCTCAGTTTCTGAATCCAAGGGCACATGCTTTTTGTTCCATTTGCTCACTTTGCTCTTCATCTTCTTTCTACTTTTTGGCATTTCTCTCCGTTATT